GTGGATCAGATGTGTGTCCCGAGGAGCAGTGTGGACGCATGTCAGGCATGCGGTTCAGGAAAAGTCACATTTGAAAAAGCAGCCACCAGAGAACATTCTGCATAACACATTCTGGAGCATGTGATCCAATAGCAGCCTGTGATCGCTAGCTTTTCTCCTTCTGCCCATGGCTCTGCTGCCTCGGGACTGTGAAACCAGCCGAGAGCTCAGAGATCGTGAGTGCTGTCGGCTGCTTCAGGGAACAGCCCTGTGCAGCCAGTCGGGCCTGAGCAAGCCTCTCCCCCATTCAGTTAAATGGTGTTGGTGGCTAATGAACAGTTCTTCATGGGTCTTTACATTCAAGCAGTAGGACTCCTCGCGTGTGTGACTATGGGGGGAATTATTTTGTGGAGACGCTGCATGGTGGCAACAGGGTTGACTTTAACTTTTCCATAGCTGATCCCTTGAAATGAAAACGAACGGTGCGTTTATTTAGGAATGGACTTTTATGAGGCTGTTTGATCAGTTGCTTAGTTCTTCCCCGTGCTTATGCAAATAGATGGATTTTCCCGAGGTGCTTTGTCAGGTACAGAGCATTACAGGTAAGACCGCATCTTGGATTGTAGAGTTTGGAGGAACCACACACTCCTGTTTGTTTACTATCCAGCCTGTGAATCCCTTCTGTCACTCACTGATGACTCCTCTTTCAGATTCCGCTTGGGTATTTCCTGTGACGGGAAGATTATTCCTTCATAAAGCAGCCTTTCCATATTTTGTGGCTTTAATGGGTAACAGAGTTCTTTATTCTTACATTTCTAATCCCTGGATAGAATCCAGCTTCCTAAAGCCCACAGATAATGTCGATCTTTGCCATGTAGCAGCTTGTCCCTTAAGCCTTCCTCTTCCAAGTAAGAATCCCAGGTTCCTTCCATGTTCAACACCCTCACCCGGCATCTCTAACCACAGCCCTATTGGGTCAGAATGTGCGGTGTTCTCTCCATCATGGCCAATGACTTGAGGGAGGGCTGCCCTTGGCAGATGGGAAAGGCACAGGTAGACGTGGAATAGCTTAATTTTTATGATCTCTGTACATGAGCTGAAAGGAACCCGCTGTCTACACTAGAGCATGGCTACCAGGTATATTATTACTTTGTTTGGTCTGAGAGCTGGGGAGAATCTTACACTCAGGCATCTTCCAAAGAGGCAGAATTGACAGTTCAGAACATGACCCCCTAAGCAGAGCAAGTGATTTTACTAGTTTGCATTTCTGTGTCGCTCTTGGAATCTGGTGTGTATAGGGCTGTGCGGGAAGCACACATTTCCCAGCAGGACCCCCAAGGGGGAACCAGGACAGTAGAATCCAACGAGCCCTCATTTTGTGCCAGGCATATCTTATGTGTCATCTCATCTGATCTCCCTCCTACCCTTCGAAAGGAAGGATTTTATCCCCATTTCACAGATGTCCTTTGGAGAGAATAGGTGAGTTGTCCAAGGTCAAGTGGCTAATCTGCAGCCATGCCACGATTCAGACCTTTATCTCTCGGAATGCAAAGTCCACGCTCTTTCTTCAGCCCTGCACTGGCTAAACGTCTTTTGGACAATAAATATTTCTTGGGCATCGATAGAAATGTGTGGGGGGCTACTGAAAGCAAAGGGGAGATGCCATCCCATCTCAAAGATCTTTGAATTTCTGAAGGAGAGTTAACACAAGTAACCATGTCATCAATAGGGACATGGATCAATAATTATTAGACTTTTTGTGTGTGATTAAGCTAATTAATGAAGGTCATTAGTTTCATAATAAATGTTGGCTGCAGGGCCTAGAGCTGTCCGTAGGATCTTACCTTTGTTGGCAGCCTTGCTTAGATGACATGTGGCCATGCCGGCAGCAGCAGATGTTTCACTATGGCCCGGGAGACCGATGCAATTACATTCCTCCAGGGCCATTCCATCACTGCTTTCATTCAAAAACACATACCTACATAGATGTATTTTAAAGAATTGGGTGGGAAGTATAAGTCTGACCACTTTTCAGATAAGAGGGGGGAAAAAAATGCCTTCCAAATTTTTCTTGGTTAAAAAGAGGGAGAAAATTGAAAACACTTGCATATCCAAGTATAGAGAGTTAGCTAAAGCAAATTTCCACCATAAAGTCACATAACTGTTATTTAATCCATTCCCCAGCCTCCGGGCACCACCGTGCCAAGAACAATTGAAGGAGTTTGTCTTCTGTCTCAGAAAGAAGGTTAATCCTATGACATTTCTTAGCTGCCTATTGTTCTGCTAATGACAACGGCTGGAAGTCCTACTTAGCATCTGATGTAGATTCCACTTGCTGCTGCCCGTGTAGACCATGTTCTCTATGGAGATTTCTTTAAAAATGTTGCTTCACACTTGAAATGGTCACAGGTGTTTAAAGACCCTTGATCGTGGCTCTTCTGTCTTCTCAGCGGCCCCTGAAGTGTCTCTGAGGGAAAGATGTTTGGTCCCTCTCATTATGTGGTCATTCCCCTATTCCTCTTCCCCTCATAAGCCCAAACAAATTATAACAGCCAGAGCGCCGAAGCAAGGCTGCTTACTGTGAGAGAGCACATGGCTTCTGCCTTGTGTGGCCTGCATCTCCTGGGACATCCATGCCAGCTTGACCCCTCCGGGGCCACGTACTTTGTGGAAAATCGTGCCCAGAGAACGGAAGTCCCTTGTCTCCCAAAGCGAGGCCCTGAGTCTACCTGGTGGCTCCCTGCTCTGCAGCACCAACGGTCATGGGCATGAGTTGAAGCTGGTGGTGGGCACTGTGCCCCGGGACCCCCAGCCCTGTGCCATTTAGTCCCCACAGTGGTCCTTCAAAGTCAGTTCCATTACTGTCCTCACTGTAGGGTGGCGGCATCAGGAGGATGGAGAGGGTCGGCACCTTCCCCATGATACCACAGCCGGTGAGTAGAAGAGCCAGAATTTAAGACGACATAATAAAGAAAAGGCAAACCTCTCTCGGGAGACATGTTTGTGATGAATAAGTACAGATCTTTTAGCCTCGCCAAGTCCCTTTGTCACGTAGGGCTGGTAGACAGCAGTGTGTATCACCGATGGATGAGAAAACAAAATGCCTCACCCACTTTCACCTGGGCAGAAAACGCTCCTGGGAATTGGACGTCATGTGTGCGTGTCTGTATTGGAATCAGTGTGACAGTGTATTTACGTCTCAGACTAGTTTCTGTGCTTCTCCCACGAGCTAGACATCACTTATATTAGGAGGGATTTAGAGGGAGAAGCAGCACTTCTCTCCTTGGATTTAACACTCCCCTTTGGGCATACATTCATTCATTCATTCACTCATTCATTCTCAAATCCTTCTGAAGCACCTGTGGTGATCCAGGCCCTGAGCGTGGGCCACGGTTACATCATGGACACAATTACTGCTCCCATGAAGTTCACCATCTAGCTGAGAATTAAAACAGGCCTAACCCTCATCTTTCCAGGGGAAGACCCCGAGGCCCGGAGACTGCGGACAGTGAAGAACATTGCTGATCTGCGGCAGAATTTGGAGGAGACCATGTCCAGTTTACGGGGAACTCAGGTTACACACAGGTATCTGAAGTGTGAATTACTTTACTGAACTAGCTGGTAACTTGATGGTCACACGGCTTCTCCTGTGTTTGTTCGTGCCACTGAGCTGGCTAATAATGGAATAAATAACGTTGATTGCCAAATGTGCTGGGATTGACAAAGAATGCCATGCAGCGGGCAGAAGGGAAGTGTAAGTAGCAAGAATTAGTATGGACAGATTCCTCCCCAAAGTAGGAGGTTGCTAAGTCCATTCAGCCAGCTCCATTTAAATTCCGCTTTGCGTGCATTTCCCAAAACTACGCTGTGCTGTCGAAACGAGCAGGTGAACTGCATTTGACCTGAGCGATAAAGTGAATAACTCGAATTCCTGCCCCGTCTTCTGATCGTCGTTACTCTGTAATGTTGTTAGTCATGCACGCGTACAAGACATGTAAGGTCACCTTTATAAAAATGCATGGTCGTGTTTGAACAGTGATTTTGTTGGATGAAATCTAGCATTACCTTGGAAACATTTATCAGGTTGATTTCATTGCTGAGCAAGAAGCTGAAAAGGATGCAACCCTAGGACACCCTTCAAGCTTTTGGCAGGATGGCGATTTACAGCCTGTGTCTGGCTTTGGTAATCAAGGCCATGTCCTAGGTACCCCCTCCCCCCCCCCTGCCGCCTCATCTCCCAGGCTCTCCCTTGCTTCTCAGCTTCAATCGCTTTGATACATGAACTAGCAAGGAGACAGCAGGGCTTCCCTGCTGCCCGCTGTTTTGGCAGCTCGAGGTGAAAGCACCGTGGGTTCCATCTTAAATAAGACCAGGGCCCAAACTTTAGGGGGACCCCAGCCTACGGATAGTGAGGCCGCTTGCAGCAGGATTGGAGGGAAACAAAAGCAGCGGAAGCACCAAACAACTTGATTCTTCCAGAGGAGAGTGAACTTGGCGTTGGTGGGGGGGGGGCCTTAAGCCTTTAGCTTTCTGATTGCATGGGGCCACGCATTGGACCCTGGGACTCTGTGATTAGATACGAAATGCCCCTAAGTTTCCACCATAATCACTGAAACGGACTGACTGTGGGTTCCTTGGCGTGGACTAGGATGATGATGACAGAAGGGACAGCTCGGTGGTTTCTCCTGCCTGCAAGACTCCCGCTCGCTCTGCGCAGTGGGAGACCCCACGCAGCTCTGAGGAGGTGCCCCGCCTGTCTTGACTGTGTCGGGGCTGAAGCACAGGGGACTGCAAAAGAGTCTTCCCAGTGCCAGGGACCCTGGCACTTTGGTTTATTCCCCAAGTGATGTGATCTCAAGCCTAAGCACGTACCACTCTTTCCAGCCCTTTGCCCCAGGTTTAGTTGTCATTTGGGGCAAAAATGTAGAAGCCAACATGTGGGGGAAATGAACCTGAGAGAGTTAGAAGGTCAAGACTGCCCCTGCCTGCTCGGTCAGGAGAGGCTGAGGGGAGGAGGTCTGGTGTTAGGAGCTGCACGGGGGCAGGTGCGCCCTGCCCTTGGAAAGGGGGAGCTGTGAGGCAGCATCCCAGCGGGGGACCTCTGTGCCCATTGCTATCAGGGCAGCATTTTCCATGTCCCTTCCTGAGTTAGAAAGACAATTCCAGTAGCTAAGGTAACTGAATCAAGGTCATGGTCATGAGTGCCTTGTGCCATGTTTTGGTGAGAACAGCCTTCACTGGGCTTACCCGAATGCTGTGTGGGTGCGCATCTTCCTGTGTTCTGTTCTAACAGAGGGTGGTCCATGGGCACCTGGTGTTGATCCTGTCTTGTGTACGGGGAATCGTTCATGATTTTAAAAACATTAAAGAACATATAAACTGCAAAGGATTCTAGGCGCAGTGGGCTCTAACCCAAGGTGGCCTTTATGTGTGCAGCACATTAGAAACCACATTTGACACCAACGTCACCACGGAGGTCAGCGGGCGCAGCATCCTCAGCTTGACGGGCAGGCCCACTCCTCTGTCCTGGAGACTCGGCCAGTCCAGCCCTCGGCTCCAAGCAGGAGACGCCCCCTCCATGGGCAACGGGTACCCGCCTCGAGCCAACGCCAGCCGGTTCATCAACACCGAGTCGGGCCGCTACGTGTACCCTGCCCCTCTGAGGAGGCAGCTGGCGTCCAGGGGCAGCAGCGTGTGCCACGTGGACGTCTCCGACAAGGCCGGAGACGAGATGGACCTGGAGGGCCTCAGCGTGGACGCCCCCGGCTACATGAGCGACGGGGACGTCCTGAGCAAGAACATCCGGACGGACGACATCACCAGCGGGTGAGTCCTTGGGGTTTCTCTCTTCACAGAGCGGGAGAAGGCTTGGCACCTAGTGTGTGTTTGTTTATTTGTGTTGGCAGCACTTTAAGTTCTCTGGAGCCCATCAAACTGCCTACTTCGCTTTGTGCCGTCCATGTCCAAGGCTGTGCGGTGCAGAGGGGAACCTTCTGGGAAGAATCACGTGACTTGGGCCGTGGTCCAGGCTTGGCAGTCCTCACTGGGAGGCTCTAGCAAGGCTCCACCTGCAGCCAGAGAGACACTTGACAACAAACCACATGGTGTCAGTTCTTTAATCAAAACCTGGCACTCAGGGTGGAGTCCAGCCTCCTCAGCATGGCCTACCTGGTCCTACAGGATCTGGCTCTTACCTGACTCTTAGATCGCACGGTTCTCCACCCTCCCCACCCCCTGCTTCCCCTGCTGTAGCTGTTCCTTCCAGTCCTCAGTCTCATCAAGCTCTTTCCTGCCACAGTGCCTTTGCACCCTCTGTTTCTCTGCCTGGATTCGGTTCCCCACATCTTTGCATGGTCGGTTCCTTCTTGTTGCTCAACGGGTATCTCTTTGCAGGAGCCCACCTGGGCCATTCAACTTGAAATAGTTTATGTAGCTTTGCCCCTTACCCTGTCCTCTCCATCACCCTGTCTTACGTTCCTCTGAAACCTTATCACTGTTTCAAATTACCCTGATTATTTGTTTAGATTTTATGGTCTCCCCACCCCCACCTGCTTGCAATAATAAGCTCCAGGAAGCGAGGACACTGTCTGGCTTGTGCACTGCCAAATGCACAGTGCATTATACATCTGGGAGCTTATAGATATTGCTGAATTGAACAGCACATGGATTCATGGGCGACAGAACAAACCCAACCTCTCTGTAATGAGCTGCTTGCTGCCTGAGCCGCGCTGTGACCATGTGCAGTCCTAGGCCTCCCTCTTGTTCTTGGCTCTACTCCCCGATCGCTGTGTGAACCGAAGATGCATCTGTGTATTCCACTTGCCTGAGATTTAATCTGTTCCCCTCACTTGCACGGAAGTTTTCCAAGATCCTTCCCTCTTCTAGCATTCTAGCAGCCAAAATGATTGACAATAAAAATCAGGCATAACACTTGTGCCACTCATTTCCATGAACAGTGATCAAGAACCCATGGTTGAGTCAATAGTTTCATAATTGAATAATAGTTCATTCTCCCACTATGTACCAAGCCCTGTGCAAGGTGCTTTATGTATGTAACCTTCTTCTGTCTTCACAGCAATCCTTCGAGGTAGGAGATATCACAATCCCCATTTTGTGGATGAGTAAACTGAGGCTCGGGAAAGTTAATTAACTGGCCCAAGGCCCTGCAGTAGTTAAGAGGCAGAGCCCAGGCCCAGCAGCTCCAGAGCCCTGCTCCTTAGCCACTGTGCCACACCATCGTGCCCAGTATCTCATTGCTGCATTGAAATAGCACAACTGGAATTTATTTCAAAATTAATTTACTTTTGCTTAGCTCTACTGGTCTGACTAGAAATGTTCTTTGAGTTAATTAAAAGTTTAGACATAGAGGTGCTTTGGCTTTCTGCCTGTTACTTTAACAGTGGTTCTCAACCTTCTGGCCCTTTAAATACAGTTCCTCATGTTGTGACCCAACCATAAAATTATTTTCGTTGCTACTTCATAACTGTAATGTTGCTACTGTTATGAATCATAATGTAAATATCTGATATGCAGGATGGTCTTAGGCGACCCCTGTGAAAGGGTCGTTTGACCGCCAAAGGGGTCGCGACCCACAGGTTGAGAACCGCTGCTTTAGAACCATCCTGTAGTGAAAATTTGGATGACAGGAGCCACCAAACCCTTATAACCTAACAAGTTTCTGCCATCTAGAATGGCTGGGAAAGTTGATGGACTGATATGAAATGATCGCGTTAACCGTAGGGCATCATTTTGTGTTTCTAGTTTTTTGTAAACCTACAATAACCTATGCCTATTACTAAAATTAAGCTACCTGTGATTTAATCTTTTCATTATTAATTAGAAGACTTTTGGAACCCAGAATGGCCTCAAGGTTATCATTATCACATCTCACTGTCATATATGACCAAGGAGTTTTCAGGTTACTTTGCGATTTTCGTATCCTGTAATAGAGTTTATTTTACTGTTGGATCTGTCTCTGACTCCCCAATAGATGGTCAGTGTTGATTTTGATGTAGTATTGACAGTTTCCACAAGGTGGCGACATTGAAGCACTCAAAGCTTGACCCTTGGTGAGAAAGTCCTAGTTTCCTTGGCTACTCAAACCAGAGCCTTCACCACTGCTAACAGGCACAGATGTTTACCTTTCAGCTCCTGCTCGGGGAAGCTTACATCTTTTTTACCAAGTGAGCTAGCTCTCAGAGCAAGCGTAGATAACAGTGTGGACATGTAAGCAAACCACCCGATTACTGAAACTAGAGAACTCCGATCTGGTTTTTCTTCTAGCATTCTCTTAATGTGGAAATTTACCGCCCAAAGGAGGAGAGATGGCCCAGATGGCACTTAAAGCTCCTCCTGGTTGTAACCTTCCAGAACGCGAGCTAAGCATGACTCCACTCTTCGGGAATGCATGCGAGTGTTTGCTTTGGGGGCTATGTTATCAGTTTGCTTCACATGCTGAGTCCAGGGCAAGTCATTGAATGTCCTTTGTACTCATTCCTTTTTCCTTTGATAAACATGACAGAGTTGTAGATATTGAGGAACTGGTCATTTAGCCTCTGCTTCAGAATCTGCGAAATAAGTCATATTACCTAGGCCAGTGGTTCTCAACCTTCTGGCCCTTTAAGTACAGTTCCTCATGTTGTGACCCAACCATAAAATTATTTTCGTTGCTACTTCATAACTGTAATGTTGCTACTGTTATGAATTGTAATGTAAATATCTGATATGCAGGATAGTCTTAGGCGACCCCTGTGAAAGGGTCGTTCGACCGCCAAAGGGGTCGCGACCCACAGGTTGAGAACCGCTGGCCTAGGCACTCAGTGTAGTGGAAAGAAAACAGCCGATGTCAGACGCCGGGAGCTTAAAGCCCGCTCAGCCCCGTGTGAGCTCTGTGGCCCTGGGCACGTCATCCGCTTCACTGTGCCTGGAAGCACTGTCATTAACATGGTCCTTAACCTTCTACAGTTAGGTTTCTCTGTGAGGTTGCATCTGATTAATGGAAAATCTATACAAATAAAAGGGTAATATGCTAATTAGACCGGATAGTTTGGATGTCTTCTAGACATCCTTCCATACATCCTTCTGGACAAAGCCATGGTGGCAGGGCCGAGGCAGAGGTGGTTAGGGGCAATCAGGCAGGCAGGCAGAGCAGTTAGGGGTGATCAGGTCAGCAGGGGAGAGCAGTTAGGAGTGATCAGGCTGGTAGGGGAGCAGTTAGGGGCATCAGGCAGGCAGGCAGAGGCGGTTAGGGGTGATCAGGCAGAAAGGCAGGTGAGTGGTTAGGAGCCAGCAGTCCCAGATTGCGAGAGAGATCCCACAGGGATCAGGCCTAAACCGGCAGTCGGACATCCCCGAGGGGTCCCAGATTGGAGAGGGTGCAGGCCGGGCTGAGGGACCCCGCTACCCCCCCACACACACACACCCTCCCACCCCCATGTTTGAATTTCGAGCACCAGGCCTATGGTAGCTGATAAAGCCATAGAGTCTCAGACAGGGTCTAGGTATCTTATCAACCTCAAACAGCCAGGCACTTGGAAACAATGAAATGATTCAAGTCTTCATCCAGATATGTGTTTGGCTTAGTGGGGACAGCCTTGATGTATGAGTAATATATAAACCCCTGAGGAGGGTCTTTGAAAAGAGTTCTTGTAAAAGTTTACAGCAAGTTTATTTAGAAAGCCTGGTGTGGAAGTAAATTCTAGTTTCTGAAAACCTATGACCTTTGTTTTTAAAATAATGCCATACCTCCACTTGGGGTAACAGCTATTTTTTGTAGTTCATTGTCTCCACGGTACAGTACGCACGTACGTCTGTCTGTATCATTCAGGTCTACCCGAGGTGGGGCTGAAATGACATTAATAAGAACCTAGTGCGGAATGTGTGCGCGTGTGTGTAAATTAGCTCCCTGTGTGTGCCAGTTGTGTCTAAGTACTTTACAAGTTGCCACCTTTATTAGATCAGTAAATTGGGCTTTGGCTGTAGTGAGTGGGAAAAAGTTTAAAATAACAGATGAAGATATTTCTTACTAAGTTTTGATCTGTGAAGTCAACCCACCTACTCATCTTCTAAGCATTCAGGGTGACATATGGTGCAGAATAAAATGAAGGGGACAGACTTAGCACCCATATGTTTGGAGAGATGATTGTTTTTCTTTTCCAAGGAGGCACTGAGCTGTATAATCTTCTAAAGTATGAATATACATCCCCTCCTGGAAAAAAATGACCATTTACATTTAGCACTAGATAATTGTCCACGCCCCTTTGATGGCTTCCCATTGCCTGTGAGAACACATCTCAACGTCTTAACAGAACGTGGGAGGCTCTTTATGATCCTTCCCTCAGCCACCCTCTCTGCCTTTAGCCCTGGTCACATCCCTCTTCACATCCCCACATACCCCATTGCTCTAGGCTATCTGCTATTCATCACAGAAGGCTCTTCCCTGCATTTGCAAAGCTCTGTGCCATCAGGACATGCCACTTCCTTCCTGGAATTCCTTTCCCATCAAGCCCATCAGATTGACCCTAAAATAAACACCACCTCTGTGATGCCCTCCTGACTTTCCCAGTCAGAGTTAGCTCTGCCTCGTGCGTTCCTGGTGGCTTTGGTTTACAGCCAACCTTGTAGGTGAGCCTTTCACTTTGTGTGGGAAACTGTTTGAGAGGGGCTGGACGGTGCTGAGGAAAGAGCGTGGTCTTAGAGGCAAACAGGTTTGAGTTTTAGTCCTGGCTCTGCCACCTGAACTGGAACAAGTTCTTAATCTTTGGGAATTAGAGATAAGACTTGAAAAGCACCTGACAGAGTCTGAGATGCTCAAGAAATGTGCAGTG